AATAAGCCATATGTATTATATTCATACAAAGTTCTTTATTGCATAAAAAAGATTTATGGCTTATTAATGAATAATATTTTGCTTTTGTCTCTTTTTCATTAATGTCTAAATCCAGTTCTCTTTACAGAGTTTGTTTTTTAAAAATAGTTGTTAACATTAGATTTAGTTTAAGGATAAAAGTTTCTCAAAAAGTGCATTTGCTTTATTTTCAAGCACTTTTAACTTCTCTTTCCAAGACAGTTTTCTTTCCCTTTTTTTATTTTGAATTTCTTTTTCTTTTCTATTCTTCCAAATAAAACTGATACTGTGAATGAGCTGATGAAGCTGCCACTTTCATCTCTTTCGTAATTAACACATTGGAGATTCCACCACCATGCTTATGAGCTGATGAAGCTGCCACTCTTATCTCTTTCGTAATTGACACATTGGGGACTCCACCACCATGCTTCACATAATTACAAACTATGTGCTGGGCAATGCATGAATTTTGCCCCAGATTTTTCTGTTTCTATATTTTTATTGATACTAAACCCTCATCCAACAAAAGAATGTTATTGCATACTTCTTCTGCAATGTTACTTTTACAGAAAATGCATCAATATACTTCATTTTCTTGTATGCATTTGTGTTGTTTACTGCCATATACATTAGATTAAAAAAAATGAAATAATGAATAATGAACTGGACATTTCTCCAGCTTTTCAAGAAGCTGTAAAATAAAAGCTTGTAAGTCACATTTAAAAGAAAAGTAATCTTCATCCATGATTACATTTTTAGCGTATGGTTCTTGCAAGAGCTCATCAGCACTAAACCCTACACTAATTTTAATTACTTAATTTACTATAACTTTCTCAGAAAAATCAGCATTACACAAATATTTCAGTGATGAACTGAATTTTTAGCATGTACTTTTCTTTTACAATTTCGAAATGCTGCAAAAGTTGCTCTAATTTTTGTAAATCAAAAACAAAAAAGGAACAAGTGGTTCCTCACTTTGGTACAATTCCAAAAAGGGGTTTGACCAATTTAGCTACAGAAATGAAAAAAAGGAATTTTACAGGCATTGATTTGCCTTCAATCGCAACACTTATTAGTTCATATGATTTACTAGTTATTTCTGTATATATTTCTTTACCAATTAGCTTGACATAACCTTTTATATCTTCCCAAATTTCAAAAGCATGCAAACATACTGGTACATTCTCTAGCTGCATATGATTACAAAATTTCAATGGCAAAGTTTTATGTACACTTGTTGTTGAAAAATCTTCTCGACGTGCTGGAGATTTAATAGATAGTAGAGTGCTCCTAAACCAGAATGTATGTCCCAGCTTATAGTGAATGCTCCTTTATGTGAAGCACTGCTCAAAATATGCAAGCTGCATCTACCAACAGATATACATTAAATGCTATATTCCTTTTTTAGTTTATGTAGGAGGGCTTCCTAAAACTTCCAATTTATGGCTGGGCAATCCACACTTATTTGTAGCAGCTTTCTTATATCTAGTTTTTTAACTGCCATGTGAAAACTTTCAAAAATATTAGCAGCTGTTTCAAGCTCCATAAAAATAGATGTCAAAAATTGAGTTACAACTTTATTTTGGTCAGATTGCCAATATCTGATACTGCAAATCTAATTGCTTTTTTAAAATTTGTTTTATTCTGTCTCGTCAAATAACAAGGTAAAGTGGGTTATTTTCTTAAATTCGTCATACATGAGGCTCTGGAAATAAGGTGTGAATCCAAAATGGCAGAAATAAGTAAGTTTTCCCACACTATAAGGAAAGCATCTTACTATAACATTGTCACTGAACATACTTGAAAAAAGTTTACACAAGTCACTGCTAGATGTATAAGAGTAATGACTAGTCACCATTTTCAAATACTACAAAATTTCAGCATCCAAGACACCTTTTGAAGCTCATACAACATTATCTAAAGTATCTAAATTTCGCAAAGCACAAATAACACTTCGGAATCTGAAAGGTGCAACACTAATACAATTGGAAAAAGCCTTGTTATTCCAACAAAAGCTGTATTTTCCCTCTTCAGAAACTTTTTATGCTTGGCACCTAAAAATAAATAGAATTTATTGTACATTTGTTTATTTTTTCATACTTATTAATATTTAAATAATTTAATCAATGGTTTGAACATTTTCTAAATTTTCACTATATGATAGTTTTTCCTTAAATAGATATTGCAAAGTAATTTAAGCAAAAATAAGTATAAAAAGGAACACTTCTGAAATCAGAAGATGGGAAATTGCTTCATCCTGTCATCCTTTATACAGTAAAAGCTTAAATAAGTGGCATGCTTGGAAATTGCAGATTGCTGGAAATCTAAAATCACTGGATAAACTGGAAAAAGAGGGAGGGGGTAGACCGTAGCTGATTTTTAGACTTTTTGGCTAAATAATGTTTTGGCATTTTGATATGAACATTAAATATAATTTTAAAGAATATTTCACTATCTTTCAGTATCTTTCGTAACAACAAATGCTTAGAATAAAAAATAGCATGAAGATCTTAATTTAACATTGATTAGATAACACATGTTGCTCGTGATTAAAAAGAAAAAAAAAAAAAAAAAAAACTATTATCTGTAGTCCAATTATCACCAGAAATGTAAAAGTTATAAAAATGCATTTATAAAAAACATAGACTAACTGAAAAGTATTCTATTCAGCAAGCACAATAAAACACTTTTAAGTGCTCATAAACAAATCCGAGATTTAATGTAAAAACTAATTATCTTTGCAGAATACTGCAAACATTATTGCACAATACTAACACCTTTAATTCTTCCACACATGGTATTATGCAATTGAAACCAACAGCTGCCAGTATTTGGAGAATAAATAATGGAAAAGAGAGAGATTTACCAACCCAGACTGTTTTTCATTCTAATTTTGAAAAGACGACATTAAATTTCTGAAATAGAATCACCTTTTGTTTGGGTTGGTAGGCTGCAGAACTTTTAGCCTTATTCAATTCAGAATGGAAAGTGACCAAAACAAAAGTCCGTTGCTTGTTTTGCTGCGAACTGTAATGGTTTCAATATATGAGATTTTTCGGAGAAAGGGGAGGAACCAGACTCTTATAACCCCACACACACACTTACGTACTGTATAATGCATTCGCAAAAAAATTGAAAAAGCAAGCCAAAAATTCCCAGCTTGGAAGATACACATGAAATACAGAAATAATAGGAAGGGGAATACATACAAAGAATAGCATGAAAAAAGCTTTTTGACAGCAGAAAATGAAAATTTAAAAAAATAATAAATTGGTAGTCTACAGCAGATTTTAATTTTTTAATTTCACACATTAGAATTAATAATAATTAAATAGTAAAAAGTTTACTTACGTTACATGCGACACTTTAAAGCAGCCTCTCCTATGCTGATTTCAGTTTTACACCAGGAACAAATACCCTTGTGACAGTTTTCACTTTGTTTAGGCCATTCAGAATATTCTTCCTTAGAAAGCCAATATGTGTTAAAAACACACTTACACATTTTTTAAACTTACTTATGCTTTTCAGCATTTATGGGAAATATATTATAAATATTCATACATGTGCTTATAATATAAGCATAAGGATCATAAATAAATGTGAATATGAACTGTCCATGTAGAATGAGAATGCAGATTATTAAAATCTTGATAGAAGTTTAAATCTCTATAGTCTGTGGATGGCATGAAAACAATATGTAATGTACCAGAATTTTCTACCCTTTTCACAATTCTCTAACCAATAGAACAATGTTCACGATCTGTTTTTGCGCAAATCAAAGGTTACATTAATGCAGAAAAAGGGGAGAAATGCTATTTCAGGAAGTATGATTCACTATCTGATGCTCCAGGCATGGAAGAAAAGTTGTTTATGTAGCTTTGGCTTTGATACGATAAAGATGCAAATTCATAAAAAAATGCATTAGAGAAAAAGTAAGCACCTATAAGAGTCTTTATAATATAATTTCAAATATAAGAGCTTATAGGCACTTTTAAGGATGACTACACACCATGTTGCTGTAAATTCAAATTTTGTTTGATAATTTTCTTAGAAGTGTCCTCCAAAAAAGCTATCTTTTTTCCAAGCATAAGCTTCTGACAAAATGATATTTTCTTCCTGATGGATAATTTCTTTAATTTCATGAACCGGAAACACCAGTTACGTCATTCAACAAAGTTTTTAATGCCTATTTGTTGAGCAATTACTTTTGCTCAAAGGAGAATTCTAACTGTTGACACTAATAATCATTTTTCTGTCTGCTCTATTGTCCATTTCTCCAATTCTTTTTCAGACTTCCAGCATCGAATGCACTCCTTGTCCTCTTGAAACCTTCTAGCTGCAGTTCAATTTCCAACTTCAATCACTTTCTTCACTGCCTAGCTGTATTTGTCACTTTTTCTCCAAGCAGGAAGAAAATTCAACAACCCCAAACAATAAAGGGAGCAGTGCAATATGTAAACAATAAGCCAGTCACAAAAGAAATGAGACACACATGTAAGAATTAACAAAGAACTTCGTGAAATGAAAGTTCCTGTGACTGTTAAAAAAAGATGGTTGTCAAAAAAGGCAGATAAACCTACAAAGTTCAGCAGAAAGAACAAAAATTATGATGCCTTTACACCAAAAGCACCCTACTGTAGTTAACTGAGTTTGCAAGTTCAAACTTGATGCATTTCCCTTTAGTGCAACCTGAGCACTCGTATTAGGCTAAGGTTGCAGCGAATTCTACATTAACCATTTCCCTCATGTATAACTTATAATTTAAACTAGTGAAATTCTTTAGAGACACCGAAAAACTAAAATTCCTTTAGCTACACCACAAACTTCAAATTTCAACTTTTAAACAGGTACATCTTATCTGCCCAAAATTAAAGATATAATATATTTGGGGAATTTTTTACTTTTCTACTTTCTTCTCAAATCAGCATATTTTAGATGACAAAATACTGACATAACTTAAAGTTTATGCTAGTTATTACTACCTGTCATTCTAGTAACTCCAGCTAAACAGGCTGCAGCCCCAACCATAGCATATAAACCTGGTGTCATGCAACTCTGACCTTCAGGGCAAGCCTTTTGAAAGATATGCAAATGGCTGTATGACCTAAAATGGATTTCAACAAAAAGAAATAGTAAGATAATTTTTAATATTTTTCCAAAATGCAAACAAAATTTATAATTATTATGCAATAATACGAAATCACTTTACTTGCATTAACTTACAGATTTTCATATTTTCCCCATTTAGTTACTCAAAGCAGATAAAAAATATAGATGCTTTAAAATTAAAAGCATGTGTATGACCTTTATCATCAAAGACAGAAAATAATTGACAAGATGCAGCAATCAAGAATTGTGATGCAACATTCAACTGTTACACCAATGAAAACATTCTCAATATGTAGCATTAACCATAGAATTACGGAACAAAATGTTCTACAATGTATCTTTTTTTAAATTTCCAGTTAGGAACAAAAAAAAAAGCATTTGTTACTAGAATTGATGAAAATTATAAAATTGTTTACTCTTAGCAAATTCTTTTAACACAAATCAAATTTTTAATTGACAATAATCCATTAATTTTTGTAGTACAGTCAAAAGTCGTTAATTCGGACACCCATAATCCGGAATGATCTATAATCCGGACCTCAAAGCTAAAAACTTTCTGCGCATGTGCCGCGTTGGCACATGCGCACAGGCGTTTTAACGCGAGCGCGTAAGACCTTGACTACTACGCATATGCGTGTGCCAAGCAGCGCAGAATACGTTTTCGCCTGCGCGTTTAATGTATAACGGACGTGTAAGCTAAAATTATCTAATTATCTATTTCAGTTAATGTTAATGATTGCGTTGTTCCTTAATCTTCGAATTGGATCCCGCTTATTATTTTTTGCAGACTGTAAGAGCAATTTTATAAAAAGTTGAACTTTCGATTATGTCAAATAGAATTTCCGATGCTGGAACTTCCCAAAGGATCTACAAAACGAAAGTATGTTTCAATGTCCAACAAACAAAAAGTGGAATTGCTGCAAAAAATGGATAAAGACATGAAGAATGTGACAGAGAGGTTAGTGAAAACGAAAAAATTTCGATTGACAAGTTAGTCGGTATTCTCGGCACAGCAATTAACGGGACTTGAACAGTGGAACTTTGTAACTGAACAAGAAATTATGTCTGTTTATAGAATTAAAGAGAAAGTATTATCACATAAAATGAAGCAACTTAAACAACTTACATTGAAAGAAATGTTTAATAAAGTAAACAAATAAATATTAAGCTTTTTTTTTGTGTAAATTTTGATACCCTTTAGATCATAATTGTTCTTTATTTCATAAATTACGGTTTCATATTTTTAATTTTAGAATTTCTGCATGCCATCTTACGAGATTTAAACTGATGATCTATAATCCGGAAAAATCAATAATCCGGAATTGCCGAAGTCCCGACGAGTCCGGATTAACGACTTTTGACTGTACTTGAAAACAATCCTCATGATAATCATTTCATAGATTGCTACATCTTCATGCAATATACAAAGATGACTGGCTTTCATTATAAAATAGGTTTAAGAGAGGTTTTCCAAGTCCAATAAGCAACAGCTGTCAGATCACATGAAGAAATGTTTAAACTCTTAACATATCTTTCAGTTAAAGTTATTACTTAATAAAGGAATACATCAGGCAGTAAGTAATAACAAAAATAATAAAATAATTAAGGCAGATTCTGAATTTAGAGTTAATTGATTAGTCCCCAGAATGTATGCATTCTGTAAATTCTTAAGCAACAGAAGCAATCGCTTTCCAAACTATAAGTTTAAAGCAAAGCTTAGCTTTACTTACATAGCTATTTGTTCCATACCAATTCCAATCATTCTGCCCATGATGGCTCCCATTGTCATGCTAGGAATAAAAAGGCCAGCAGGTACCTAAAAAATAAAATTCAAATTAAACCAAAAACAATGCAATTTTAATAAAGCATTTCGATTTTACTTCATGAAATTAGAGCTTTAGCCTCTATTAAGATGCAATATTCTTTTAATAGACTTTGTGAACAGAGTTTAAAAAGCTGTAATAATAAAAGGAATAACAAAACACTTTCATATTCTGTAGATGAATTACAACCACATTAAAATGAGCATTGAAGTATAGTGCATCAGCTTTTACTGTAGCAACATCCCAAAATCCAGAACTGCCCCTTTAGATTAACATTCCTAAGCACATTAGTTTTATATTTAATTTAATAATATGCATTTAAATTCTCTTTAGAAATGTAATAACTACACAATTTATCACAGTCGTCAAATTTATTTTTTCAATTTACAAAAAAGGAATTAAAATTTTATGAATTAAATATGAATTATTAAATAATACACAAAATAAACCCCTGCTACTGTTTCTAATCCTCCTGACTAGGAACTATAACCAGATCAGGCCTATGAATTTTATCATGGCCAAGAGGAATGGGTTACACCTATCATTGGCACCTTATAGGTAATCCTTTGGGTACCTTACATACAACAGTATGGTTTTCTCCAACTTCGTCAAATATTTGAAGGAGAATGTACTAAGGAACGGATTTCAGGGTTTCCTAAACCTCTTCCCCAATCACCAGCCTTTTGAAAGAACTTTTAGATGGACAGTATTTTAAGTTTTTAATGCTGCAAAGACACTATACATTTACAAACATCCATGCCTTATCTGGGTTTCAAATCCAGGTTGAAGGCTACGTTATGTTCTTTGTGCAAAAGTTTGTGGTGCTGATATGGAAATGAAACAACCAAATAAGGTGCATTGCTATGTTGCTATGGAAAAAGGCAGATAAACTTTTAGTTATAAAATAATTATCAGAATGACAGCTGAGTAACAGTCTCAATATTAGAAGTAACTGTTGTATATTAGCAGTTCCAAGCAAATTACAAAAATAGAAACTTAATCTTCTTAGCAAATTACAAAAATAGAAACTTAATCTTTCAAAGGCTATAACAGAATCCACAAACAAGTATAATCACTGTGTAGCGAGCCTACCTCCTGACATCGCTATGACCATGATGGATATCATCAGTTCTCCTGATAAATCTGATCCAGTAACTGGAAAAATGCCCACACAAAAAAAAGCTCACATAGAGAAATGCTCACACAGATAAAAGCTTACATGTACATATGTTCACATGGAATTAATCCTACTGATAAGTAAGATACGTAGAAATATCCTTAGATTAATCAATCAATAATTAATCGATTTGAACATCATACAACTACTTGAATTGAACAAAGAAAAATTATTTAAATTACCAAAACATCTATGGTACATATATATATATATCAAAAATTTGAAACTTATCTGTAGATTCAGTTGCTATATAAGATTAACAACGTTTTGAATTAGGAAAGGGAGAAAAAGAAGAAAGAAAAAGGAAACAGAATATACAGTGAAAAAATTGTTACAATTTTAATTGTTAAAAAAATAAAATAATAGTAAACATAAGGTACAAGTTTTATAATATAAACATTTAGAAGAATAAGCAAATAACTTTTATTTAAATTATGTAAAATACTTTATTATATATAAATCATAAATATATATTTCAAAAAGTTATAAATACATAAACGTGCTTATTTCTACAACAACTATCTACGAATGCACAGTCTATTTTAGCATCACCCCTCTAACCATACAAAAATCCGCTGAAATAGCATATAAAATAATGGAAGTATCACCTGCTCGGGTAAGCACATTTTTTATATCTGTGCATCATCTAGTGTTACACTTAACTCTGAACTGCTTAAAGAGATAAAATCGCTTCACAAGGACGTTAAGTTTCTACGATGTTCAAGAAGGGATTCTCATAATCTTAATTTTTGTCATACTACAAACTGTGAGAAATCCTCTGAGAAGTGTGATTTATGTTGGTACTACTGAAAATTTGCTTCTTAGGCGAAGAAATGTAATCCACTCTGCAATTTTCATGGAAATTTTCAGAGCAAAGAGTAGTGGCAATATATGCTTCACACTCCAAGTTTCGTCGCCTATTTGTTCGTGATCGCAAAACCAATATTACCTTTTTAATTGATAAAGTTAGTGATTGTTCTTCAATTCCAGCCTCAAGATTTGATAAAATGACTACTCCTACTCAAACTTTTCTAGCAGCAAATGATACTAAGATAAATGTATATAAACAAAAGCCATAATCTTTAGATTTAGGTTTAAGAAAACAGTTTATCATTTTTATGTATGCATCGTTCAAACTGCTATAATTGATGCAGATTTCCTTCATCATTTTAACCTCCAACCAAATCTTAGAGCCCCTCATTTAAATGATACTTGTATCAAATTAAATTCTCATGGTATTTTGCATGTTGCTAGTATATATTCTATGAAATCTACATTTTGTAATAATAATTATTCTAAGCTGTTAAATGAATTTCCTCATAGTGTTCAAACTCCATGAGCAAAACAAATTGTCAAACATTCAGTTCAGCCATCATGTTGAAAATTTTGCCCCCCCCCCCACATTTTTACTAAACCACGCACACCTGACCATTCGAAAATTGCAAAAATGGAATTTTCAGCATATTTTAGATTTAGGCCACATTTGCCCATCCAACAGCAATTCCACTTCCCCACAGTATATGGTCCCTAAAAAGACACGAATGATTGGCGCCCTGTCGGTGATTTTAAAGCCCTTAATGCTCAGACCGAAAAAGACAAATATCCAACCCCTAGTATTATTGATTTAACTAGCCAACTCTATGTGTGCAACATATTCTCCCATGCAGATTTAGTCAAAGCATTTCATCAAATTCTGATTGCTCCCAAGGATGCCCATAAAACTGCTATCTGAGCACCATTTGAACTTTCTGAGTGCACTTGTATGCAATTTGGTTTTTGTGCAATGCATCAAGCACTTCTCATAGGTTTATCGAGGAGGCAATGAGAAGTTCAAAATGGTGTATATGCATTTATTGATGATATTTTGATTGCCTCAAAAGAGCAACGAAGAACATATTAAACATCTAAGAGCTCTCTTTAAAAGATTAGATCATTATTGTTTAGCACTGAAAGCCTCAAAGTGTACATTTGGAGTTCCTACCTTAGATATCTTAGGATTTAAAGTCTCTAAAGAAGGTATTTTTCTAATTCCAGATTCAGTTGATGCAATTTCTAAATTTCCTAGACCAGCAAGCCTAACACAACATCGCAGATTTGTGCCCCATGCTGTACATATTTTGACCCCCTTTAATTAAATTTCTAGGTCATTTTAACAAAAAGATATCATTCCATCCAAATAAAAAGACTGAAAATTCTCTGCAGTTGTCTAAGGAAGCCGAAAAGGCATTTTTAGCAGCAAAAAAAGCTCTTGCGAAAGGTACCCTCTTAAGACATCCAGTTCCTGGTGCTCAACTCAGTCCTTTGGACCGATGCATCTGATACTGCTATTGGCAGCTCTCTCATGCAACTCCAAAATGGTCAGTGGGAGCCAATAGCATTCCTTTCTTCAAAACTGAATAAGAGTCAATAGAAATGGTCTACATATGATCGTGAAATTTTGGCAATATACGAATCTATCATGAAATTTTGGCACGTTAGAAGGTCGCAACTTGGTCATATTTACCGACGAAAAATCACTTGCATTCATTCACTTTCAGACAAAAAGCAGAAAAGTTCTCTCCTTGACAAATGAAATACCTAGATTATATATCTCAATTTTCCACTGATATACAATATGTTAAAGGTCAGTAATATGTTATTGTTGACACCCTCTCCCAAATAGAAGTAGATTCTGTTTCTTGCTCATCTACTCTGGATTTCAAACAGTTTTCCTCAGTACAACTCACAATGAGCTACAACAATTGCTAAATTGCAGACCTTCTTTGCAGCTCTCTACACAGTATTTCCCTCTTGAAGATATCTCATCTCTATTGTAACTCCATAACCGATGTTCCTTGTGTTTTCATTCCCTTTTCATTTAGACCTATCATCTTCCACAGTATTTACAACCTTTCACATTCAAGTATACTTGCCACTTCAAAACTGATACAGAAACATTACATTTGGCCTAACATGGATACTTTTATCAAAAACTCCAAGAAAGCTTATGAGAAATGACAATGTTCAAAGATATACAGGCATACGAAATCCCCCATTTTCTCATATTCAGATCGATTTTATTGGCCCATTACCAATTTCTTGAACATAATCAATCGCTTCATGCAATGGCTCAAAGTAATTCTGATATCTGATATATTGGCTGAAAAAACTTGTAAAGCTCTAATTTTCCACTATCACTACTGACCAGGGTTGAAAATCTGAATCGCATCTTTTCAGGGATCCACACACCTGTACAGCACTCATTGTATTTGTACCATTACCTATAGTCCTCAAGCAAATGGAATCCTTGAACGGTTCCATTGTCAGCTGAAAAACAGCATAAAAGCACAAGAAAACCCTCACTGGACATAATTATTACCTCTTATACTTTTGGGTATTCGATCTTCTATCAAAGACAACAACCAAATAACTTGTTCTGAGTTAGCCTACACTGCTACCTTGTACTCAGATCAGCTTTCTCCGCCATCCCCGAAACCAACACGTGTCAATCGTTTATGATCTATAATGCAATCTCCAATTCCCACTGCAATATCAAAACACAGTTCACAACCTATCCACATGTATCCATCCTTAAAATCATGTTCTCATGCTTATTTGAGAATTGACTCAATTAAGCCTCTTCAACAACCATACTTAGATCCTCATCCTGTCACAGAGCGACATGACAAAACCTTTATCATCTCCATGCATGGTAAGAATAAAAATGTTTCAATTAATCGATTCAAACCTGAACTTATTATTAGTCATAAAACTTTAGTCCATAATACTAAACCATCCTGTAAGACAGACATATTGAATACCATATCAACTATTCCT